AGACAGCAAGTTATAGTTATATTTAGCTTTTAAAAAATCAATCCCATAAATATGTTGTTTTGTTTAGTTTGTTTACATATAAGTCCATTTGTTTTGAGACAGAATGTCATGTAGCCCAGAATGGACTCAACCTCAGTATGTAGTTGAGAATGTACCTGAACTTCTGATCTTTCCACTTTTACCTCCCTAGTGTTGACATTACAGATGTATATCATTATTCCTGACTAAAAAATATAGACTCTGAAAATTGCAAATAACAGTTGTGGACTTTTATAAAGGAAAGAGGAGTCTCAGCTCTCAAGGAAGCTGTTATATTTCAGAAAGTAGTTCTGTGCTCTTTCTTACCTCCTCAGGAAGATTTGTGAATAACATTTATTTTCCATATAATAATTCCCATGAAATTATAAAGCTATCAAGAGTATTTAAAGAATGAATAGACGGTTCAGCAGTTAAAGCACTGGTCACTCTTATGGACGACACAGATTCAATTCCAAGCACCCTCACGGTATCTCACAACCATCTGTTGAATCCAGGGAATCTGATGTCCTCTTCGTGTCTTCAGGCACCAAGCAAGTACACAGTACATGGAAACACAATACCATATTTGTATAATAAAAGAATAAATAAACAAAACATAACCAGGAAAAGTGATACAACCTATTAGAACATATCATACATCTACAAAATTTGATGAAGTTGGTATTCGTGACAAACTGGATGCTGCAATTATTTTTATTACCCCTGTAGGCCAGCTACACTTGGGAACTGCATGTGTAACTAAAAGTTTTCTTGGATAAGACTATTTATTAGTAAGCATAGAAATGATGACACGAGGACTATCTATACACATAAATATTACACCTTAGTTATTGTCTGAACTTGGAATTTTAATATAAAAACAGAAGGAATAGAACTAGCAGTAAAATTAAAAGAAAATATAAAGTAAGAAAAGGGGAGTAAAAGGTTTTCTAAGGCTATGTTTACAGAGTGAAACTTGCATAAATTCAAACATCAAATGTGTGGTGGTGGTGGCAGTAAATCAATGGGTCATTAGTTAATAAGGTTAAAAACACATTGAATGTGGAAGAAACCATAAAATCCAGGACTAATGGGAAGAGACAGCAGGAATGACATGTCTAATAAGAATATTAAACAACAGAAAGATACAATAAAAGGCTGTGTTGTTAAATTGTAGAAAATATTCATTTCAAAGTTAATGAAGTCCACTTTTTGCCTATTACTCTAAAGGTAAATAACAGTAAGGAATCTACCAGAAAATTAAAGTATCATAATCATTTTTTTCTTGAGTCTACTATGTTATCAAGGAAAATGTCTCATAGAAAAAGGTATCAGTATTTAAGATGGTTCAATGTAACATGTAAAGACTTACCTACAATTGATTGGGTTACATTTCTACAATCAACCCAGTAAATATTATCAAAGGCTAAATTGTAGTGAAGTTTCTCCTTGGAAGCTTAATATTGTCTCCATGTACAAGGGCAAAATGAAAAACAGACATTTGTATTAATAGATTAAAAATTAAATATGTTACCTAGCAAACTAAGAATGTGTTTGGGATAAATTATTTCAAAGATCCAGTTTTTACAGTGTTTATATGATGTTGCTACTTGTTGAGAAATAGTAAGGCTTCAGTATACAGTCAATATTGAACAGATTCATTTATTTCCTCTTCTAATTAAAAACTATAGCTTCTTTAGATTAACAGAAACATTTTTGCAGCAGGAGGAGATTACACTTCGACATTGATCCAACTTCTTGTCCAAGCTGGGGCACAGTGAACTATGTTTTTATTCCAGCATCAATCGGGGCTGTGGCTTTCACAAACATGACCCTCCTACATCAGTGATCATGCTGACCACTTGGAGACTGTCTTCAGGAATACGTGACCCAAGCCAAAACCTAGATTATATAAGTCCTTGAAATGCCATGTTTATGATGTTTCTAATATCTACATTTTGCAGCTTATTCCTTATGCTTCTGTGCAGATGCATGTTAAGAATGTGTAATGGAATGAGTTTTTAAAAACGTATCACTTTAGTTATGATGAAAATATCTTTGGAACGCTCATTCTGACCTCTTTTAACTTCTACTGTGCAGTGCAAACATCAGTTCTAATAAAATGATATCTCTCTTGTATGTGATGTGTTTATTTAATTGTGGACAAGAGACCAGGTTTTCCCAGAAGGATTCTGAAAGAATGCCTATGTGGTCCAATCTTCACAGGCAGCCAGAGCTCTTAAGACCTTAAAAGTCTTCCATAGATGCCAAAATAATATTTCTTTTCCACCCAAGTCTTCAATGTTAGGTGAGATTTATTTTTTGAGGTAAAAAAAAACAACCACCTTACAAATTCAGAGTGGGCTAACAGTTTCCAAAATGTGCTGGGATTTGGAGGTTTTAGAAGCCAGGGTTTATTTTTTTTATACAGAGGTTAAATGGCTTGATTCACTGGATATTAACACTGTATTTAAAAGTTATTCATGGAGGCACAGTTGTGACTTTCTACCTGTTATCTCTAGCTGTCTTATCTTTCTATGTATTTTTGGGCAGGTTCATCTTCAGTTCTTAGTATTCTATTTTTGAGGAGAAATCTTAGGAAAGTGAGATGTGTCTCTCTAATAAACAGTTGCCAATGACACAGTTAAAATTGTATTAGAGTTAAATTTATAAAAAGACAGACGGTCTACACTTCTAGTCATCTGGAGTTAAAGTCCCATGATCCTCTTATGAAAAAGCTCAGCTTGATAGAAGACAGAATTCTGACCTGGCCACAGGACAGCGTCTTAGCAGACAAAGGAGCCTTGCAGTCAAGGAATTACTGAAGTAAAGCCGAGTTCTCTGATGATTTTGCTATTGATCTTGTTGATGATCCAGTAGCAGTGGTGCCTTTGCTGGTGAAGGTATGTATTGGGATTGCTGGGTAAAGCGCGTTGTTCTACCTGTAACCCATCCTCTTGAATTGAATCAGCTCCTGGCTAGATGCACATTCCAGCTATCTCCTTGAAAATATCTCAAGGTCAACATGTATGAATGCTGTCCATTAGTATTCTTGAACATGTAGCCATTCTCACAAGGAGAAAGGGACTGGGGCTCTCCTAGTTTCTGGGGACAAGATTGCCATAAAATATGTCTTTTCTCAGCATATTTAGAATATTTTCTAATTTCAAAATTAATTATAGTTTAATTTATTCATGACAGAGGGGCAATGTGCTAATTTGACACATGTACAGTGAATACAGTGTGCACATCAGGCTGGTGGACATCTTTTACACTGATTCCAAATGACCCTTATCCAGACTCTCATTGGGTAAAAGACGTAGTTGTGACAGGGATTCACAGGGGTAAGGAGCTCAAGTGTGTCTACTGCTCTGGGTTATCCCCGCACACTGTACTCCAGATGGATGCAGCTTTAGCTAAATTACAATGTGTTTGGGATGACCTGGGGAGGTTTTCAGAACCAAGACTGCGGGCACTGCTGCTGCTGGTGGTGCTGCTGCTGCTGCTGCCACAAACTAAGTTTTGTCTTTAAAGGATGAACAATTCGACTAGGTGATTTCCAACATGTTGAACAAAAGCAAAAATTACTGCTCTTTCTGTAATGAAGTGGAAGGAAAATTTACCTTTTCCAATCTCACAGCATTTAAAAATCACTTTAACATATGTAAGCATTCATCAGATGGTGACTAAGCTTCTAATGATGAGAAGCCAGGACAGGGCTGGCCTTGGCGGCCCAGTCTCTATCCCAGCACTCAGGAAGGTCTGGAAAGGATTGAAGTTCAGGACGAATCTGAGGTACTGAGCAAGCTGAGTGAGACCTAACCTCAAAAGTCATTACTAACGATGTAACTCAGGGTCAGAGTGCTTGCCAAGGCCAGGTATTTGATCCTAGTAACACACACATGCACACACACACACACACACACACACACACACACACACCACAAAGACACAAATGCACATGCACAAGCACATGCACCCTGGAAATCGGCATATAACACCATACTTTCAGCAGTGACTAATGACAGGGTCCTGATAACATCTGACACTTGGGATAATTGAGAAGCAAAATCAAACTGTAGACAATCTAGCATTTTCTTAACTTAAGTAAGAGTGGGGAGGTGAGGGGTAACTGAAGTCCTTATGTAAAAAGTAATAACCTTGTCCTATATTGCACTATTAATTTCTGCTTAATTCTCTTTCATAATTCATATTTTGAGAGTTTGAAAAATGTTGCCTACTCCTTTGCTACTTGAAAGTCATCTACTTGCTTTATTCAACAGATGCATAAAATATGTATAATGTAATAAAATGCTTAGTATAATTTTACGTGATAATGCTTTCTTGTGTTATTTAATCCTCTTGTAGACAGACTACATCTTCATAATTTTTACATTGCATAGTGATATCAGTACTTTGTTCATTTCCTGTACACATTCTGTATTGTGAGTTCTTAAGACTCTCCTGTCAATACTTTGTTCACAAGGATAAGTGTATAAATGCTGTCTGTAGCAGAACAAGACCCAACTTCAGATTCTCACCAGAGAAGATCTGCAGCATGTATAGAGAATTTGCTAAGAATTATATTACTGCTAATTTTGTGATTATTTAAATTTCGTTCTGTGATCTCAAAAATGCTTATTCTTATTTTCTCAGTCACAACTTGTAAACACCTTTGAATCAAAGGAGAGTTGGAAGACTTCATCCATGTAGAAATGGTAAGAACAGAGAATCCAAAATCCCGTTTCAAAGCTGAGTGTGTCAGCCATACACGGAAATAGCAAAGTCTTGAAACAATGCATATGACACAGCATCTTAAGCAAAACTAAAAACATTAAAAATAACTGAAAAGGACTATCTTTAATAATGTACTTATGAAAGCTTATTGTACAGGGTAGAAGAGTGCACTAAAGCTATTCAGGAAAACTATCCAGTGTAATAATTGTCATTTCCTCCTCAAGGACAGTCCTCACCAGGCCATGCCCTTTCCACATTGGATCTGCTTTGATGGTTCAGTCTAAGCCATGGAGACAGGAAACCACAGCTGTGGGACAGATTTCACCCTCGTTGGTCTTTTCCAGTATGGACACATGGTCACCTTCCTCTTCACAGTCATCACCATCCTCTTTGCAGTGGCTCTCATAGGCAACATCACACTGGTCCATCTCATCAGGCTGGACCGAGCACTCCACACCCCCATGTACTTCCTCCTCAGCCAGCTCTCCATCATTGACATGATGTACATCTCCACCACTGTGCCCAAGATGGCAGCTAACTTCCTCTCAGACACCAAGGCCATTTCCTTTATGAGTTGTGCAATCCAAGCCTTTGTGTTTCTGACCCTGGGTGGGTCTGAGGCCCTCCTGCTGGGCTTCATGTCCTATGACAGGTATGTAGCCATCTGCCGGCCCTTGCACTACCCTGTGCTCATGAGCAGGAGGATCTGCTGCTCCATGGTTGCCAGTGCCTGGAGCAGCAGCTCCATCAATGCTTTAGTGCACACAGTGTATGTATTTCAACTTCCGTTCTGTGGATCTAGGATGGTTAACCACTTCTTCTGTGAGGTTCCATCTCTCCTGCCACTGGTGTGTGAAGACACCTCCCAATATGAGCATACAGTCCTCATGAGTGGGCTTGTCATTCTGCTGCTACCCTTTCTGGCCATCCTAGCTTCCTATGCCCGGGTGTTGGTTGTTGTATTCCAGATGGGTTCAGGGCAGGGACAGAGTAGAGCTATGTCCACCTGCTCCTCCCACCTGACTGTGGCCAGCCTCTTCTATGTCACTGGCCTCTCCACCTACACCCAGCCACACTCCTTTCACTTTCCTGGAAGGGACAAAGTGGTGGCTGTTCTCTACTCAATCGTGACCCCTGTTCTGAACCCATTCATCTACAGTCTGAGGAACAAGGAGGTCATGGGAGCCCTGAGGAGACAAATGGGATGATGGGTAGTGACTAGGGACTTTGAGTCACCCTGTGGACTGATCTAAAGGCTGTTCTTAGATATTTTCTGGGATGATTTCAGGATTGATATTCTGGTGGAAGCTCACCAGCTTGTCTAACTGACGTAACAAGAGCAGGAACCTTTGCCCACACTGTGTCATACTGAGTTGATGCTCTCAATCAGAATGTTGGCTCTGAAGGAGATGGAAGGGCTTTGTCCTTGACCCTGGCATCTCTGGCTGCTTGTCAGCCTGGGTTGGCTTTCCATAGAACCTTCTGCCCTGATGCAAGGAACTGTGGCTTCTCAGACTGTGGGAGTCAGTACAGTTGCCTGCTATCTCTTTCTCTGGATGCTCTTTCTGCAGTTTATGAATATAGGTGTACATTTGTAGATATTTTACATAAATTGGGAATATTATATTGGTTTTCCTTTGCAGGTACAACTATTATATGAGTGTATGTATTTATGCTGTGACATGTTTTAAGGACAATCCTGAAAGAAATATGGAAAGAGATAATTTAGTGCTTTCTTTTTTGCTTGTGTGACTATTGCCACTTGAGTAAGATTTTTAAGCTCTCCTAAGTGGTATAATGATGTCTTGCTGACTTCCTTCATTAATACTCTTCCCAGAAATTCACTAGTGGCTCTGTAATAAGCATCATCAGTGGATCTGTCTGACAGCATGCACTCTGTCTCTCTCCACTTCATCTTTATGCTGCTCTCTCAGCAGCCACGGGAGCTTATGATCAGGACATTTAGACAAGAAGAACCAAAATGGTTCTGCTTTTAAAATCCATATTCAATTTATGAATTTTTCCAATGGCTAATGCACAATAAATGCTGACAGCACTAATATTATTTCAAGATAATTTCCTGGAAAAATATATTCTTTGTATGTAGTCCTGACTATCCTGGTGGTCTCTATGAGGACCAAACTAGTGTTGGAAATAAAGTTGTATGCCAGCATCCACAGATAAAAAAACAAACAAACACTGGCTTTTGCTTTTGTTTTAATTTGAAGTTACAGATGATTGTTAATGCTGGGGTTCAAACCTGTGTTCTCTGGAGGAGCAGTCAGTGTTCTTATAGTTGAGTCAGTTTTCTAGGGCCCCTGCATTCTCAAAATAGTCAAGTCACTGCCATGTAGTCCAAGAACCAATAACAAAAATCTTCTATGAACCTAAGTACTTGTGTAAGTAACATGATGAGTAATTCTCTGTGTTAAGCTATATATGTTGTGGGCCTAGAGCAGTGGGGTAGCTGTTAGCAGCACTGGCTGCTCATCCCAGCACCCTTATAAGGTAGCTCACAACTGTCTGTGGCTCCAACTCCAGGTACCTGAGGCCTCTGGCCTTCAGGAGCACTTATGTGCATATATCCATGTCCACATCCACACTTACAAATAATAATAATAGTAATAATAATAATAATAATAATAATAGTAATGATAATAATAATACAAAATTATGTGGAATATATTAGTGATTCCTTTTTGCTTCTTTGTAATTGGTGCCAGTAATTAGAGTGATAATTTTAAAGACAATAAAAACACCTCTTCTTGGTGCTAATAAAAATGAATTGCATCTGTTGCCTGTGTGTCAGATCCCATTCCCCTAACTGGGCAGCCTTGTCTGGCCTCAGTGGGAAGAGGATGTATCCAACCCTGCTGAGACTTGATGCACCATGGTTGAGGGATACCCAGGGGTCCCCCACCTGCTCAGACAATTAGGGGAAGGGAGATAGTGGGTGGATCTTGTGATCTGGAAATGGGAGGGAGCAGCAATCAGATGTAAATTGAATAAATAAATTAATTAATGGAAATAAAGAATGTACTCCATAAGTTGTATGTTCATACATGTGTGCACATAAAATATTATATATTATAAATATTATATATATATATGGATACATACATGTATGTGGCAATGATTACCAATAAGAGGAAGCCATCACATTGAAACTGGTGAATGTGGACAGAGTTTGAGGGAGGAAAGTGAAGAGAAAAAGTAATGTTACAGCATTTCACTTAAAAATATAGCAAAATTTTAAAGTGAAGGGGAATTTACCCAGAGATACCCTACAGAGGATGAAAAAAGTGCTCCCAAAAGACATGGGTTATTTAATAGGTATCTAAGTGTCAGGCACAGGATACCTCCCTCAAACTGTCTTAGTTTTCTATTTCTGTGACAACACACCATGACTGTCACTGGAGAGATGGCTCAGTGGTTAAGAGTACTTTCTGTTCTTCCAAAGGATCTGGGTTCAATTTCTAGCTCACAACTGCCTGAAACTTTATTTCCAGGGTATTTGACACCTTCACATTAATGCATATAAAATAAAAGTTTAAAAAAAACCTAGGAATTGCATTCTCCACGAATGGCTCACATTTGCTGTTTTATTTTCTTGTCGTCAGTACAATCCATAAACTCACTCTAAACTGAAGGACTGAGGTTGCTAAGTATCCTCAATACCCTCACCTCATGTGCCCCCATTGCTGTGATTCGAGGGTGATCTCTCCCTATAGGTCCTGCATTTGAATCCTCAGTCCCCACTGGCAATGGTTTTGGGGGAGTTTTGGAGCATTTATGATGTGGAGCCACAGTGAAGTGTGTCGCTAGGGTGGGTCTTGAGGTTGTGGACCCTGGCCCCACTTCCTGTCCTATGCAGCTACAGTATGATCAACCAGCCTCCTGTCCAAACCACCATGCAGTTCCTCCTGGCTTCCATGTCTTCCCAATCCTCATGGCCATATTCCTCTAGGACTGCAAACCAAGAAACTTTCTCCCTCGAGGTGCTTTCATTGGGGTATTTTGTCACAGTACCAGGAAAAGAAATTCATACAGAAATTGGTACTAAGTGGCAGAACCATTGATGGAAGAAAATCTGACTATGCAGTTTTGGGATTCTGGTAGTGTCTTCTGTCTGGAATGGAGAATTTAGTTCTTTTAGGATACAAAAGCCACCGTGTGCTAGAAGCAGAACTTAGTGCAGCATTTCTGGGAAGCTCAGAGGCAATACCTTTGAAAGAAATGTGGGAAGTGAATACCTAGCTTATGACATTTCAGAGGAGATCAAAAACTCTACCAGGAAGTAGATAGACTACAGCCATTCACATGATATTTGGCCAAGAATCTAGCTTTAGTATGCTCATGTCCTGTGAACAAGAGTGATGACAGATGTAAGGATGATTAACTAATTGGCTTGGCAGAGGATAGGTGTGAGAACAAGCTTAAAGTTTAGACAGTATACGCAGGGAAGCAGCTGTAGTTGTTGAAGAGGTTGGTGCCATTAAACTTGGTGCTTGGCACAGTGGCATTGGAAAAAGTATCTTGATAGCAAATCCCTACCCATCAAAGGCTCCAACGTGTAAAGATGCAAGTTCATATGAAACAAGAAAACCTAAACTGAGTCTTTGCTCCTCAATAGCAACTATCTAGGAGATGCTTGCCTGGGGTCGGTACTGATGGAGCTGGGGGAGACGGTGTGGGCAAGTATGTGTTTGTGTGTGCTTGTGTTTCAGAGAGAGAGGGAGAGAGAGAGAGAGAGAGAGAGAGAGAGAGAGAGAGAGAGAGAGAGAGATCCCTAC